TATGGATGAGAATGAATATTATGTGATCCTATATTTTGACATAGTAATAAAATATCAGTCACCTTTATTACATTGTGGAATTTCATATTCCCATTATACCTTTTTCTACACTTTTGTAATAAACTAATCACCCAAATTACTTCTCTCTCAGGAATATTCATCTAGTATCTCTTAGGTAAAGTAGCCCAAGTACTAGTATCTATTTATTGAAAATTTCTATCGTAACAAAATCTAAGGTCAATAGCGACATACAAAATATAGTAATAGGGCGAGGCTTGGGCGCTAAGCTCTCATTTAAGGAAAGGTTATACAGCTTTATGAGAAAGTATAATGGGAAAAAGGATAAAAATAAGATAACAATTAGGACAAAATATGTCACTGTTAAAGGTTGTAGTGCACTGCAGCTTAGCATGGTAATGAAAAAAGTAAAGAAGGAATAACAAACAGGTACGAAGGCCATTCAGGACTGGCACAAAGTACTCACACTTTAGGATGTGGACAGAAGCAGGATATGAAACAGAGAAGGAAAAAGAAAGGTGGAGAAGAAAAGACCATATATTGGGCCACAGACTTCGTTTCCTAAGCCCCCCCACAATGGTAACAGGCATGGGATTAATGGGGAATTATGTACTATACTGCATTTTAGTCACATTCAATTTTCATACTGTGGGGAAAAATATGACTGAATAAAATTCTAAAAGTTATTTCAAAGTATATATTCCAAAATTGTACATATAACAGACCATTCCATGAGTTGGTCAATATTATCAGGAAACCAGTATAATCCTTTATTTACAAATTCATTTCTTAAATTATTCATTTCTTACATTAAGAGCAACTTTATGTTGAATAAAAAATATACATCTACCAATTCTAAGAGTTCTAATCTGCAAGCATATATAGACTAAGATACAAAATGTTCTCCTGCTGATCAGGAAGAGTATAATTTACTAAAATGTTCATAAGGTATATTTCTGACCATCTGACCATCATCTAAAATCAGTGTGGCACTAAAAGAGTCCTCCTGGATGCTTTCGAGCACGGCTTCTTTCTTACGGTGTCTGCCAACTAGAATCAGTACTTTCCTTTGGAGTGAGGGAATAACAGTCTCTAGAGCCATCTGATCAAGCTTAATCTTTGCACCAGAATCTAATAACTTAACTATCGCAGCGTAGTCATCAATCACATCTCGAACAACTCCCTTTTGTTTGTAGTACTTTGATCCTAGTTCTTCTGTGACAATTTTAACAACAATTCCTTTCGCTAACCAAGGAATCTCAGCCTTTCCTTCCTTTTCAGCTTTGTTTTTCTTTGCTATTTGTTCCTTTACTTTTTTACTCTCGAGTTCTTCTTCCATGATATCATCAAGAGCTGTTCTCTTCTTTGTTTCTTTTCTAATTTTCTCCTCTACCTTTGGCTTGCTTTTTGGTCCTGCCATTAAAGCATTATTTTTATTGAAGCTACTTGCCTTTAGCATCTTAGATGAAGAGGGTAACTTCATGTTAAGTGCTATGACTTCATCTTCATTCTCTCGTTGCAATTCCTTGTATTCCTTCTCCTCATCACCATGCTTAGCCCGCCCAAGCTCAATCTGCCTGTTGATGAATTCCTGCATTCTTTCCTCTTCATCTTTCTCAAATTTTTCACGTTTCTCCATCTGTTTTTGTCTTCGGATCGTCTCAGGATCCCTGTCGATGTATGCAACATACCATCCCTTTTCAGTTTCATCCACAAGGCAGCGTCCTTCTCGCCCAAGCCACTTGACAAAATCAGTAAGAGTCTCCCACTTCGTGGCGTTCATGTGCACATGGTCTCTGTCTTGGATGTATTCTTGGTACACATTATTGGCATGGACTCTCTTTGTGCCAAACCTTCTCTTCAGAAGGCTCTCGTATCCCTCTAGGAACTCCTCTGAGAAGCTGTCCAGGTACTTGTCAGGATCTTCAGCGAAAAGGAGGAGCTGTCGTTGGTGACTCTCTGACATGGTGTGGCACTTGAATCCATTTTCATCCCGACACTGTTTCTGACACATCTGGCAGTACCATCGTAACTTCTGGAGACCCTTGGCCTTCATTTTGTTGGCCAGGTCTTTGGGTGTTCCTTTCTCTGCTTTCCCCATCTTGTCCTTGGTGAATGGGTCACTTTCTGTCAAAAGATGGTAAACAGTAGAGAGTTCATCATTTTTCACAGCATGAAAATGTCTAATTTTAACTACTTATTCGCTTCAGAATATATAGTGGAAGAAATACATTATGATTACAAAGCTTTGTGTTACACCTTAGTATATCATTATTGTTATTTCTTACTCATTCATTTATTTTCTAATCTCATTCTCTATCTCTCTTAATAGTCTAAATACACTCTTCACACTGAGGATATAAAGAATTCATTATCTGTAACAGTCTACAACTTTATCTCTGGAACACAATGTATCAAACACATGAACTTTAAGTAGGAATATTCTGCATTAACATTTAAAAATAAAGTACATAATAATACTTACCTGAAAAGCACTAAACAAAATCTTTCAGCTTCCTGAAGTGATGCCTGGAATGCCTGTGAAGTATGAACCTGAAAAAAGAACAAAAGTAAGCAAATGCAACCTGATATTTTTTAATAATCATATAAATGAAAATAACAAATAAACAGACTTCAAATTCAATAGATATTCCTAATAACATGAACGATAACAAAGTCAACAGAGTAGCGAACAAAAATGCTAATGGTAATAATATATAAATTTCATTAAATTGTTTCATTCAATGTTGTACATATATCTAAAGAGGTCATCATACTGAAATGTCTTGAAGTGTAGCTTTATTCCTGGCAAATCCATAATTCATATTTACAAAACCCAATTTATCCTCTGTGTCTTACATATAAATGATCAAATAAATTCTATTCCCTTTATAATATAGCTGATGTATAATTATGATTCACAGTCAGTCTATATCAAGGAAAGAAAATGGTAGAAAATTGGCATCCTCTAAGAAAGAAAGAAAAAAAAAAGGCATTACACAAACCAACCTAACCTGAAGGAGACAACTGTTATTGCCTGTATAGGAAAATGCAATGTCCTTAGTTTTGTTTAAAATCAAATTAAGGACTGTGTAAGTTCACGTAGTTAGCTTACACAACATAAATGAAAACCAATCTGTCGGGTGTGTCTGATGTGTCTGCTCTCACAAAGGCCTGGGGGTCTAGTGACAAAGCCCCCAGGTTCAGAAGATTTGTTTATACGACAATGTTTGTGGATCCCCAGTAATGGCTGGACTAATAAGGACTTAGTCTCTGAGTTATTCAATCACTTCATAAAGAATTATTAATATTTTCACTTAGACTATATCATTCGCAATGGAAAACAAGATATTCATACGTATCACACTGTGAAATAAGGAATAATAATTGAAATAAGGAATAATAATTATAAGGTTGAATGGCTTTGTGAAACTAAAAAATCACCTCCATATACACTTTAAGATTGGTGACTATCCATTTCAGACAATTCCAAGGTAAGAAATGAAGCACTTTAACTAATTGCTAAAAATACCTTCTCATAAAATACAAATAATAAATACATACAAAATACATCACTATACCAACAATACACACAGAATAAATTACTATATCATCTAATGCCCCCCAATCCAGTTAGTATATGATGTTGACTATATAACAGGTTAAACTGCCGCTATAGTATGTTCCTATAGCAATGTGATTTGCTATTGCTCAGTTCTGCCATACGTATATGGGGTGTTCTCGGGTTGGGGGGCAGCAACCTTCCTCATAGGAGTTGCAGGGGGTAGTGCCCTCTGCAATAAATATATCAGTGTATGATAAGTGTTATCACGGTGCCTCTGAGTGTCTGCTGCCAAATCTGAGGGATGATATGGAGTCTGTGTGTGCGAGGAAAATGGTCTATTACTATCTGGATAAAGCAAATCAAGAGGCAACAATGGACATCGGGAAATGGCAAAAAGATAAAACCAATTATACATAAAATGCAAAAATAATATTGCAAAGAGGAGGTATAAAGTCTTGTCACCACACACAAGTGTTTGCGTATGTTCAGCATACATGCATCCAGCAGAGCGGCTGCTTACAAAAGCTTAATGCCCGTATTTTGGTCCACATGACTGCTGCCAAGCAACTGGATCCAAGGGGATAATATTGACTCAAATTATGTTATATATACAAAATGAAAAGGAAGTATGACCAATTACGACGATAGTGATATCAATGGATTCCTTTAAACCCCACTACCCATATATGTATGACATTTGCTGTAGAACCAGCACAACCCCTTCTAACTCCCACATTCCTGGCCTCAAAAGAAAGGGAGGGCATGTATGGCACCAGCCATATTATGGGGTAAAATATGAATGGTATACACAAAAAACATCACTATAATGGTAATAAGTAATTTCAGTTCCGCCTAATGGATTACGATGATTTTGGTATCGTTGGATTCCTCTCACTCTCTAGTTTCCAAATATAAAGAAATCATTTTACAGAACCTCCCAAACCCTCATGTTCTTGGCCCCAATGGCAGGGGAGTGTATGAAAGGTACTGGAAAATTGCAGGGTAAAATATGAATAATATACATAGAATCAGTCCCTACATTGTTTAAGGTGGCCGTCGCACTCTAGAACGAAGTTTGTTAATCATGATTGGATTTACGTGATTTTTTATTATGTTATATATACATATACTACAATTTACACCACCAAGTTTCATATCATTTGGATAATAAACTATGAAATTATTTAAAACAAACAAACAAGAATTTGGAAAAACATATATATATATATATATAAATCTTACTTATCCATTGACTGAAAAATACCACATATACTCTATAGCAATACCTAAATATAACACGATTTGGACTTTGAAATTACCTCTTAGTTTAGTGGCTTTTCTTTTTTTCTTTTTTAAATGTTCATTGTTATGAATACAAAATATGATATATGGACTTTTATCCCCTGAAATGGCTCGC